CCCCAAAACCCCAAAACCCCAAAACCCCGATATGTAGAATTTACAGATATAAGTACGACGAGAATAGTAACCAAATCTTTAATCTTTAAATTATCAACTAATTTACAATTTTTAAAAATGGGAATACTAAGATCAGAGGACATGTTCCTTTTCAAATTTGTGGTCTAGAAGGACAACGTCTGGGAGATTATAAACAACCTAGGAAGAACTAAGAGTGTGCACTTCATTGACATGAATCGCAATGAGCAGAGCTTTAAGCTGCCCTACACAGATATGATCAAGCGCTGTGAGGAAACTGAAAGAAGACTTATGTAATTATGCATCATTAATGTTTTAGTTACTTGAAAAATGAGTGTGATAGATATAGAGTGAAGTTGATCACTCCCCAGACACTCTAACACTTAGAATAGTCCATAGATTCCATTGGAGAAAACAAGAGGAAGGTATAGTTATTACTTTATTATACAGACTTACATTTGCTTCAAAATGAGTATTAATCCTTAATTGTAGGCTATGAGTGTACTATTTGAGGATATAGAGAATGAGATTAGAGAGAAGGAGCAATTTGTGATTAGTCAAAATGAAAAGATCAAGTCCATGATAGATATCTTGAACATGCAAATTGAGTATTAGACTGTTCTAGAGAAGGCAGATAAGATCATTCATGGCAAGATAAGAAGCAGAGGCTCCTCGTTACAAGGCATTCAAAACAATGACTTTGAAGCCAATGCTAGCTAGCCATTTGGAAGATCTAAAATAAACTATTCTAATGAAGAGGTCAAAGAGGAAGAGATTTAGTTATCAGGAAGATCAAGTGGAGGGTCTAATAGGTTAGAATAAAGTTTTAGAGAGGTCTCAATTAGATATGTAGCCGGAACAATTGAAAATACAGAAGTAGAAAGATTCAAAAAAGTCTTATTCAGATCTTTAAGAGGAAAGGTTTTATCCTACTTTGATGAATCAAATGTGATACTGAATGATTTCTAAGGCAAGTCAATAAGAAAATGCGTCTATGTTCTAGTCTTTGAAGAGGGTTCTCATTTCATAGATAAGGTTACCAGGATATGTGAAGCGTTCTCAGCTAAGCGATACTCATTGCCTGAGGGTGGGCATACTGACAAAAGCGCTTTTCATCGTAAGATCCAGAAAATAGCTAAAAACATCACTGATACCTAGTAAATGCTTAAGTTCACACGATAGTAAATGCATAATTACTTGGAAGGTATAAATCAAACACAAGGAGTTGCCTTCTCGGTTCAAGAAGTTTATAAGCTCTTTATTAAAAAGGAGAAGTCAGTTTATCTTGTGCTAAATCAGTTGAAGACTGAGAGGAACTTGTGCTTTGGATTCTTTTGGTCTAACTTAGCCAAGCATCAACTAATGAATACCATTTATAAATCTGGTCATGAAGATATGAATCTATAGTAAAAGATACAAATTGAGGACTTCAATTTTAGCAAGATTAAGCCGCCTACCTATATTTAAACTAATGAGTTCACTTATATATTCTAGGAGATAATCAACACATACGGAGTTCCCACTTACAAGGAAATCAACCCTGCTATTTTTGCCTGTGTATCTTTTCCATTCTTATTTGGAGTCATGTTTGGAGATGTAGGACATGGTTCTTTGCTTTTATTTATTGGAACTGTACTTTGTCTTTTCAATAATTGCATTGGAGGAAATTTCCCTGCAATGAAGCCTGTACTTTAACTCCGATATGTTGTATTCTTGATGGGACTATTTGGAATGTTTGCTGGTTTTATCTATAATGATATGATGAGTATCTCACTTAATGTCTATGGCAGTTGCTATAATACTGATACAGGTAAATATCTTGGGAATGACTGCATCTACCCAATTGGTCTTGACCCTATTTGGTCTTTGTCAAAAAATGAACTTTCCTTTTAGAATTCCCTTAAGATGAAGATATCAGTTATTCTAGGTGTAATGTAAATGAGTCTTGGAGTGGTGTTGAAGGCGTTTAATGCTGTGTTTTTTAAGAACTCCCTTGATTTCTATCACGAATTCATCCCTCAGATATTGCTATTGTGGTCATTATTTGGATATATGGATAGTCTGATTGTGATTAAATGGCTTACTAATTACTAAGGGGATGAGCATTCAGCCCCATCTATCATTACTACTATGATAAATCTAGCATTGAATGGTGGCCATGTTGAAGGGAGACCATTCATAGGAAGTTACGGAGCTAATAAAGCCATCAGTATATTGCTATTCTGTAATATTACTACTTCAATAATCTTATTTAGTGATTGCTTTGATTTGTGTTCCTTGGATGCTATTCGTAAAACCACTTAAACTCAGAAAAGAACATGAACATGTAAGTTAATTCAATTTGATATAATCTTAACTAGGTATCTCATCAGAGAAAGAACAACTCAGATGAGATTGAACTTAAGGATATGACAGCAGAAAGACAGAGGAACTATGAAATATTTGTTGAGGAGGAGGTAAATATTAGCTTATTTATTGTTATAGAAGGACTAAGAGGAACAAAATAATCATTATCAAGATTAAAGGAAAAATTAGTCACCTCAAAAGAAGATAAATCAAAACAGCAATAATCACTTCAGCAACTTGGCTTCAGATTAGATGACAATAGCTGACTATGGCAATAACGAAGACATCATTTTAGACTTAATGGGTCAAGGTGGACATTAGAATCATGAATTCAGCGAGATCTTTATTCACTAATTAATTGAGACTATTGAATTCGTTCTTGGGACTATCAGTAACACAGCATCCTACTTAAGGCTTTGGGCTTTATCTCTGGCACATTCTCAGCTATCTAAAGTATTCTTTGAGCATTCTCTACTCCAGGGTATAATAGATGCCTCCCCTGTGAAGATTTTCGTTTGCTATTTCATTTGGGCAACTGCTACTTTTGGAGTATTAATGTGCATGGATGTCCTTGAATGCTTCTTACACACTTTGAGATTACATTGGGTTGAATTCTAAAACAAGTTTTATAAGGGTCAGGGTTATAAGTTTCAGCCATTCACTTATGATATTCTTTTTAAATGAAAGCAAGTTGAGATTACTTTCTTATTTTTTGGTAATATATAGATATCATACTAATTCAAGCTTCTTATAAACAGGTTGGGGTTTTGGGGTTTTGGGGTTTTGGGG